GCCTAGAAATTTACCCGAAGTGACTTCGAAGACGCTTATTTGGATTTAACTTCATGTTATATCTTCGTAAAATTTGAAAAACAATCTTTAAATCATTCAACAAAGAATTTGAAAACTGGGTCTTCACAACCATGTCATCAACATAACATTCTACTTTATTGCCGATTAACGCCTCAAAAATCTTATTTACAAAGCGCTGAAATGTTGCCCCAACATTTTTTAATCCGAAGGGCATGACCTTGTAATAGTATAACCCGAGCTCAGTTATGAAGGCGGTCTTCTCTTCGTCAGCAGGATCCATCCTAATCTGGTTGTAACCGGAATAGGCGCCCAGGAAGCATAGCAACTCATGCCCTGAAGTCGCGTCAACTAGGCGGTCGATTTTTTTTAGCGGGAAGCAATCTTTCGGGCAGGCTCTGTTCAGGTTGGTGTAATCGACGCACATGTGCCACTTTCCATTGGCTTTTTTCACCAGAACTGGGTTAGCCACCCAACTCGGGCAATGGACTTCCCTGATGAAGTCTGCCGTGAGGAGCTTCCCAACCTCATCATCGACTACCCTCCAACGTTCTGGGGTGAGGTTGCGCTTCTTCTGCCATATTGGCCTGACTAAAGGGTCAGTATTAAGTTTGTGAGCTATAATTTTTGAATCAATTCCGGGCATTTCTGCCGCGAACCAAGCAAAAACGTCTAAATTTTCAAGTAAGAAACTTACTAGCTGGGAGAGAAGTTCGTTGATCGAGGCACCGATCTAGAGAGTCTTGGTCGGTTCGTCAGCAGAGACTGGTATGTGGATCATCTCCTCTTTCGGGGCAGCTCGCTCGTCGGTACACTCCGCTGGTTGCTCGAGCTCGACATCCTCTGCTAGCTTTGCTTTTCCTTTTAGAGCAGCCATGTAGCACTTGCGTGATTCAAGCTGGTCACCTCACACGACTCCCACTCCGTAATCAGTTGGGAACTTCATCGCCAAATAGTAAGTGGATACTATCGCACGTAGAACATGCGTGATGGGCCGACCTACTATGGCGTTGTAGGGCGAGGGAGTCGTGACTACTAGGAACGTGTCCTCAAATCACACGATGTTTGGCCACGTGTCAATTTCCACGAGTACTGTGATTCGACCAAGAGGTCTGACCTCCTCGCCTCTGAACCCTACCAAAGGAGTATCTGCTTGTTTCAGGTTGCTCTGTTGTAACTGTAGTTTGTCGAAGGTCTCCTTGAAGAGTATATCTGCCGAGCTGTCTAAGTCTACTAAGATGTGCTTTACCTTGAAGTCATTAATTCTTAGCTTCACCACTAGGGCATCATCGTGAGGGTACTGGATCCCACGTGCATCGTCCTCAATGAAGTATATCGGTTCTTCAAGTCGAGGTCGCTTTGGTGGATTTTCCTTCTCGTTCTCTAGTTTGCGGACCGAGGTCCTCCCAACTGCCGATGTGCATTCGGTGATGATGGATCCACCGGTGATCATGTTAATTACCCGTTGATTGGTCTTTCCTCTGGCAACTGTCGCGGTGGTTGCTCATTCTACCTGCTGACCCCAGGGCCATTCCTCCTCTGGTCCCCCTGTCGATCTGCTTGTCCCCTATCTTCTCGCAAGATGAAGTTCTTCAAGTATCTACAGCGGATAAGTTCCTCGATCTCGTCGTAGAGATTCATGCAATTCTTTATGTTGTGTCCATGATCTCAGTGGAAATGGTAGTAAACATTTGGGTTTCTTGTTGTTGGGTCTCCCCTTAGCATGAGAGGCCATTTGACAAAGGAGGAGTCCTTAATAGCCATTAAGATCTCTCCTCGCTTAGCGTTCAGAGGCGTGTAGCTCGTTCTCTCCACAAGTGGGGTCCTGGAGCATCGACCTGACTTGCGAGCTCGAGAGGGGGACCGACTTCTTGACTTGCTTCTTCCCCTACTCAGGGACTTTCTTTTCTTCCTTTCCTACTCCCCATTGCTCGTTCATTCATTCTCTCTCTTCCTCTTTTCCGACGGTGGGTTGTCGATCTTTTGATTGATCTCCTCCTCGGTTCCGATGAATTGATCTGCTAACTTAAGAAATTAGGTGATGTCCTTTGGTTTGTTAGCTACCACATGCAACTTAAACTCTTTGTGGGTGATTCCTTTCTTTGTTGCAGTGAAGCGCACCGCCGGGTCGAGGTCCGGTATCTGTAAGTGTCATTGAAGCACTTTATATAGCTTATGATTGATTCTCCTTCTCTCTAAACCATGTTCAAAAGGCTTTCCTGTGATTTCAGACACTTCTTGTTAGTAATGAAGTGCACAGTAAACAAGTCGGCAAACTGGGACCAACTTTTGATGGAGCCTGGCTTAAGGTTTTGGTACCAAGTTCGTACTACCCCCTTAAACGTAGTGGAGAAGGCCACACACATGCAGGACTCATCAGCCCCATCTAGGTGCATTTGAGACTAGGAAGAGTCCACATGGTCATTGGGGTCAAACGACCCATACTTGTCTAATGGGGGCATCTTAAAATCTTTTGGCATTGGAGTTGCCAAGAGATCGGGAGACAAAGGGGATGACCAGCAAAGTAGTGGAGGCACCGTCTTTGTAGCCACCGAGCTCGCTTCTTCCTTTCCTTTGGTTTGCTCTTCTTGCTGGCTTGGCTTCGCCGGTGGGCTGTTCCTGGGCGAGGGTGCTGTTGACTTTAGTCTGGTCTGGTACTTCGGCCTTGTTGCGAGGTAGATCCCGGTTCCTTCTTATTGAATTCTCTTTGTTGTGAGGATCGAACTGGCTGTCGCGAGGGACGGAGAGGCCTTGTCTCGAGTTCGCACCTCGAACCCCAAACTGGTAATTTTCTGTTCGTGAGCTATCATTTTCTTGCTGGGAATATCGAGGCGGATTGGGCTGACTATCCCTAGACCTGTTTCTGAGATTTTCTTGCGAGACTGGAGGAGTGTGCTGACCATCTCTCCTTCCACGGGGCGAAACTTGACTCCTAAGAGGAATCGGTACTTGTGAGGTCTCTTCGCCCCGAGGGGGAGATCGACTAATGTTCTGGTTAGTTTCAGGCCGATTCGGGTTTTGGCCTTGACGGGGCCTTGGGTGCCAAGGTGGAACCAGCTGCTAGTTTGGCTGTAGTGGAGGGAATAGGTGTTGATACTGCTGGTACAAATAATATTGTTGGTACTACTGGAACTGTTGGATCTGCTGCATCTGGATCTGAATTGCCTGGACGCACTGAATGTGGTCATGAAACTAGGAATGCCCGATTCCGGGGGGAACCACAGATGGCTCAGAGAAAGTCGCGCCTACCATTGGGGGAAGTGGGACCCTCACTTGCATGGTGCTCGGTGGTACGGACAGTGACAGGACTCCAGACGCTGTGAGCGGAATAGTGAACTGGCTGATGCATACCGTAGGACCTTGGGGGAAGGTTGATTGCTGGGCTTTCCCCTTGGTGACATTCATCTCAAAACTTTTTCCGGTGTGGCTGGAAGATGCCATTGCCGTTGAGATTAAATTTGAAACTGTAAAGAGATAGGGATGACCTTTCGATTGTTTCCCACTGACGGCGCCAATTGATGGTGCGCGATCTGGCTACTCCTAGCTGGAGGGCGATCCAAACTCCAATTGGGCGGCGAGCTGGATCAATCTGCAAAATAGTAGATCAGAGAACCCGGGGTAGCTAACCCAGCGAGGTCGCTCCGATGCTTAAGTCAGTACTTATGCTATGAATGCGAGCTAAATGCTTGAGAGCTTGAGTTCTAGTGGGTAGAGTAATAACGCGTACTTTTGCCTTGAAGTTTCATGTCTTTATATACTGGAGTAGTCGTGGGCCTTATGAAAGAGCTCCGGGATCTCCGGGCTGTGGAGATAAGGTTTGTTCCGTTTTTTGAAGGAGAGCAGTATGTTGATAAGGTTTATCGTTTACCTCCGATTTAGGCAGAGCCGAGACGAGTTCTTATCGTGATCTCGGGAAATTCGGGATCTGTTGGCTCATCGTGATCTTGAAAGATTCGGGATCTGTTGGGGAGGCCTTTGGAGTCGGTTATGTAGCGTTTCGACTCATTAGCTCCGAGCTGAAACTTCGATTCTTTAGTCCCGATTTGGATTGAGTGTCGAGGTGCTTCTACACTAAGGTGGGTTTTGGGCCAAGGTGATTGAATACCCGAACTTCGAATGTTACGAACTGGGTTCGCTTGGTTGAATTATCACCCTCGATCAGATCGCGCCCACGTATCCCCTTCTTACTAGGTCGTGCCAAATCACCCTTCATCACCCTTAATAGGGCAGCTTCTACCAGTAACATAAATACAATCTTAAGAAAAAACATAAATTAAAGGGCCTTAGGCCAATAATACTAACTAATAATGTTAAATAAAAAAAACAAAAAACTGCTGAATCTCAACAAATATATTAAATAAATTTTTATTAAATGTATAATATTTCAATGGCTCAACAAATATATTAAATAAAATTATAATAAACGCATAATATTTTCAACAGATTTATTATAATCCGGTCTATTAGATGAAACCCGATTGTCCTATGAACCGGCAGATTGGGTTCTGGGTCTAAAATTAGAGGTCTGATTGGGTTCCGGTTCCTTTAATATTTATTGTAACGTCGATTCCGATTATACCCGGGGCCCGACCCGTTTACAGTCCAATGCCCGAAGATCCGGACAATCGTAAAATGAAAAAGTTTAAATTCTTAAATTAGAAGAAACCTAATCACACCCAAAAATCAAAATTATTGGACGGTGGGTCCCTAAGAAAAGGCGTAGTTATAGCTGTAGACTTGTAGTCGGAAACTAGTTATCGCAGAAAGAGATCGGACGGTCAAGAGCACAAATAGATGAGGATAGGGGCCCACACGCGCCCATGAAACAGAGCGGTTGGGTCAGACAGATATATTCATCTCGGTCCAAAAAGGAAGATGCTTGAGAATATGCCTTAAATTTTTCAAATTTAATTTTATCACGAAAAAAAAAACCGGATAATAAGTGCCCCTCCTCCCATGCTGTTATAAAAACCCCTCTCAAATCCCTACCCGTCACGGCTTCCTTCCTTCCGTTCTCTCTCATAGTCATCATAGCGTTGGATTCCTTCATTTTCTGAACAAGGCGAAGCTATTAGCCCTAGCCATGCATACTTACGCTTCGCCCCCCGAACAAGAACAGTTCATCGATAAACTGGAGATTTTCAAGATCCAAGGCAGAGATAAGCGTGGGCGAAAGGTGCTTCGCATCATAGGGAAGTTCTTTCCTGGTAAGATTTCTTTTTCGTTTTTTTTGTTTCTTTTTAGTAGAATGGTTTATTGTTAAATCGATTGAATCTTAATGGTTTTTTCATTTTTTCTTTGGTTGATTGATGGTTAGCTCGAATTGTGAGCGCGGAGGTTCTGAACAAGTATCTGGAGGAGAAAATCTTTCCTCAGTTGGGAGAACGGCCATTCTCGGTGGTTTACGTGCACACCAATGTTCAGAGGAGCGAAAACTTCCCTGGAATCTCGACTCTGCGATCAATCTACGAGGCTCTCCCTATCAACGTCAAAGAGAATCTCGAAGCCGTTTATTTTGTTCACCCGGGCCTCCAGTCCAGGCTTTTCCTCGCTACCTTCGGTCGTTTTCTCTTCAGCGGAGGGTAAAACATCTCCTCCACTCCTCCTAGTCTTCTTGCCCACACCCCCAGCCCATCTTAGAATTCAACCTAGCTGCCGTTTCTGTTTTTTGCACCTAGATCTACTGCGGGCAGTTACTTTCACAGTTCCACCCTTTTTTATCTCGCATTGATTTGAATCCACGGCGCAAGTTAGTGATTTCCGTTGTACTTGTTTTGTCTCTTATAGGTTGTACGGGAAGCTGAAATATGTTAGCAGGCTGGAATTTCTGTGGGAACACGTCCGGAGAAACGAAATCGAGATCCCGGACTTCGTATACGATCACGACGAGGAGCTGGAGTACCGTCCGATGATGGATTACGGGTTGGAGAGTGACCACCCGAGAGTGTACGGCGCACCGACGGTTGATTCTCCGGTGTCTATGTACTCGATGAGATGTATCTCATAATAGAATGCGGAGAGGGGGCAGCGGTGGTGAGGAGTGGAGTGGTGAAGGTTTTGAAACTTGAAAAAAAGTCTTGTCTGTGGGCTGAATTCGATTTTCTCTGCAACTTCTGCTAGTCTGCTAGGGATTAGATGGATAGGGTTGTCCTTTCTGGAATTGTTTAGGGGAATTTCGAGGATATACAGAACTGTAAATATAAAAAATTGTATTAATCACTGTGGTAATAGACAGGAAAGAACCCTGCTTCCTGACATCTCTGTGGCAATCGGGTGATTCCCTCTTCTCTTTTGTTTCCTTCAAAAAACGTAACAAAAGAAGGCCTCGACTGGAAAGCGAAAGGCGTTGGCTTCTTGAGTCTCGATTGCCGATATTCTTTTACTCCGGTTTGGAGGTTGCTTTGGGTTTGCCTTTGCACGTGACCTGTTGCTGTTTGTTGCAGTTGACAAGTTTGCAAGAGAGGAAAGAATTCTGCGTAAAGTGAACGAAAGGACCGCGGATTTGTCATTTAATAAGCGTGATTTTGGAGATTAAATAATTAATGAGATTGGGAGAAAAGAAAACTGGGCAAAAGAATCACGGGATATAAACGGCTAAACCCTTTCGGAGTCTGGAATCCAACTTCTTACACGAATCTTGCCACGTGGACAACCATTATTCCATTCCAGCATGGTAAAACAGAAAAAGAAACAAACAAACAAACACCAAACCAGGCCGTTTTTCCTTAGTATTCCAGTGAACCAAGAGATTCTGAATCGAGGTCCAAGGAATCAATGGAAAAGATTGAAGTATGAATCCCGGCTGGGAATGCATAATCGACGTCGGACGGTCGGAGGGATGTCTATCAGTCTTTGTCCGGGAAAAGTAAAGGAGAGATGACTTTATCTGTTTATCAAAACCATTGGACCGATGACGTGAACCACTATTACCTGACCAGGGGCTGCGCTTTTTTCTCAATACACCGACTCAGACCGGATGGTTCGGACAATGCTTTATTGACTCGAACCAAATCGTTGACCAACGATAAGGCTTGGCTAATCTGGAGCTTTGTGTGCATGACACGTTAGCATGGTGTGTGGGGTAAAAAGTAATTAAATCAATATTCTTTTAATTTGAAAGACAAAGAAAGATTTAAATAGTGTCATGTGCAGGAAGATTCAAAAACAGCGACGGGAGAACTGCCACATCTTTTGCAGGTTTCTCAGAAACTATGGTGTTTGGGAGTTTGGACCGATGCGGGTTTCTCGGAAATTAGTGCCAAAAATTTCTGATTATTTTGATGGTTGATTGGCTGATTCTTGAATCGATAAAAAATGATTATTAATATAGGAAAATGACGGTTCAGCGCAAGATCAGAATTTTTAAGCAAAGTACAATTAGGGTGGGTGCCAGCTCGAAATTGATGTATAATATTGGGATTTTGACATTTTGAATGTTTATACATAGGAATTTGGAAATATGCATTGATACTTTTTCATATTAAAATTGGGCTGAAAAGCAAAATGTCTAAAACCCACCATCAGAACCAGATCTTTTCAGGCCCATTTCTATTATCAAAAAAAATTCATAATCTATTTTAAAGGGAATTTGTCTAAAACTCACTTTGAATGTTCAGTATTTTTCTTAAATTTATTACAATTTTTTAAAATGTTTAAAACTCACTATGTCACTAATTTGACTTTAAATAGATTAATGGCTAATGGACATTAATATATTACCATTTTAATCTTAATAGAAAATAGAAAATATATAAAATAAATTAACGGGTGTTAATATATAACTATTTTAATATTTAGACATAAAAAAAGAAAAAAGTTCAAAAAAATATTTTCAAATATAAAATACATAAAAACATAGAAATTATAAAAAATATGAAAAATTATACAAATTGCAAACAAAATAAAAATTATTTTCAAATTATAGAAACTATAGAAATTGAAAAACGAATTCAGAAAGTAAAAATTGTAGAAAAAACACCAAAAATAATAGAAAAACACAGAAATTGAAAATAAATAACAAAAATACAAGAAAATTTATAATTTGTAGAAAATAGAAAAATGTAAAAAAAACAGAAATGATAACAAAACATTGGAAATTATAACAAAACATTAAAAATGCAAAAAAGAAACAAGAAAATTAAAAACTGAAAAAGACCATTTTCCTCTAACTCACCATTTAAGGGTTATTTGGTCATGAAAATTGTTATTTATGTTGACATGGACACCTCTGTTAAAAAGCATTAACGGTACACTAATAGAAGGTGAATTTTGAAAAAATAAAAACTTAATATCATTATGAATTTTAAATATTTTGAAAAGTTATAATGAGTTTAAGAGAAATATTGAAAACTCATTTAGACAATTTCCCATTTCTAAATTCTAAGAAATCAGCTGACATGGCAGCAATAATACTAAACAAATAACTTTTTTAATTTCTAAAAAATCAATGATCTTAAATCACTGATTTTTGAGAAATTTCATCGGAAGAATAATATTGGTCCCAAACATCTCTCTAGTGCCTGTTTGGAAGGGACCCATTTGGAGGGGCTTTTTCTGTTAGCGTTGTATGGGGTCCACCTTGCAACGCCAGAAGCCCTGCACCTTCGTGTGTAAATACAGACAGCCGTTGGGTTATGTCTGGGTTCAAATATGATCCGTTAATAAGAATCTTATTCATCTGATTTTTAGATTAGACTGGGATCAGAATTGGATATTGAATATTATTTAATAAATTAAAATTTCTTAAACTATCCTTATCATTTAGCTAATTGACTAATTCCATCGTTTATATATTATCTTAAAGTAATTCAAGTTTTTTAATAATTGGCATCACCATTAAATAATAATGAAAAAAATAAAATGTTAAGTTTACCCTTTACTGCTCTTCGGATTTTTAAAATAAGATGGAAATCCATCTGATAAAAATTTTTGTCGGTGAAACCATTCAAGCTCACCGATCTTGAACAAGATTGACAGAATATTGAGTCGCAATCGACTCCACTGATAATAATTGGCATCACCATAAGGAAAGCAGCAAATTCAGCATCAATCAAGGCAAAAACAAGAGCCAATTGCTTCTTGCCATGATTTTCAAAATCGAACTGGATCAGACGGTTGAACTGGAAAAACCAGGAACCAGTCTGACAAATCGTGGAGATTCGCAATGGAAAGGGGAAGCTCAACGCAGAAGATGAGTTGCGATGAGGTCCCAACGAAAAGGGAATTGCGATGAAGTCACGACCAAGATGAGAAACAGAGTGTCTAAAGACTTTTATTCCATAAATTAAATACAAGGGAGGCTTTTATAGGTGATGGGAGTGTCGGTTTAGTTCCGATCTTGAATTCTTGAATCTTGTACCGTCTTTGCCAGATCAGCACAATCGCCTAACTGTCATGTATCTTGGTTAACATGGTAAGGTGATCGGTTTCGTTTTTCCTTAAAATCGGAATTTCTCTAAAAATTGGGCGATTAATTATTTGAACGTTTTGACCATTTTTTATTTTTTTTGTCAAAACGGGCCAATCATTCGATTCCAACGATCAAACCATTTGACCCAATAACCGGACCCCTGACCGATTCAGAGTCCTGGTCGATAATGATGATACAATTTTGAAGAAAAATCAATAAAATAATCCAGACATCTTGAAGACACGAAAATACATGCAAGAACTTAATGCAAAACAAATTGGTTTAGGATAATTGAAGAGCACTTGGTGATCTAATTCACCCTCAATTCATGCATAGGAACGGAGATTAAGTCTGAACTCTTGTTCCAAAAAAAGAAAAAATTGAAGGAAAACGAACGTATTCAGCATCACCCAGAAATGATGCTGATATGGGAATTGTAGACATGAAATGAGGGAGAGAACCTACCTCTAATGTAGCGCTTAGGACACTGGTTTTGCTTCGGAGAGATTGAACCAACTGGAAAAGGCAAATGTGCTTGGAAGATGATGGATTTTAGCTCTGTTTCAAATTTTA